ACTGGTCCATGAAAATGCCGTGACAGGAGCTCATTCATGACATCACTGCTATTGTATACTGCTATTACATTAAACTAGCACAATCTGTCACGGCCTAGCCCAGGGTCATTCCATATTTTACGGTTTAATATAAGCTAATATAACCACATAACCGTTTTCGTATTACAGCTTTAGACTTTATATTGCTAAATCGTACTGTAGTAGTCATTTTGATTTATTTGTTGATTAGCTAAAGAAGAACGGGTGGCCGTTTTCTAAGCCAACCCAACTGCAGGGCATTCGGCAAGCAAAACTCTCAAATCATCAATATGCGAATGTGCTAAAATTCAGAATTGATTTCTAAAAAAGAACACACACTTGATAACGGGTACCGATGCTAATGATGTTATAATAAGTTTTTTTTCGCAGGTTTTCCTTTTTCCACGCAGCATAATCAGTCTCAAGCAGCAGGCCTAATCGTCTAGGTCAATGGCTTCCTGCCGACTGGAACGTTACTGACGAATGGTTGGCCAACGTGATCCACGACTGTAAAAGTAAATACAAAGATAAGCTAGAATTGTTTTTGGTTCTTCATCCACTAGTGAAGATGACTAAACAGCCCTGTGTGCCCTTCGATCTACAGACACTCAAATTACAGATAAATACCTCCGTCTCCATAAACCGGTCGAAGATTTGAAGAATGCTATTCTCACCGACCACGAGATCAACATGTTCTTTCGTCAAATGTTCTGGCAACAGTATCAACTCCCAAACTCTTCTGAAGGAACAAAAATTCCGTCCTGGCAATTGATGGTAATCATGACAACATATATTTAAGGTGGCCTACTTGTTAGACATTTACATATCCCAGTGACTACTAAGACCCTGTTTACATGGAGTGGGGGACCCCGGTCTAGTGGGGTAGGTTTCTTTTGTTTTGTGTGCCCCAGAGCGTGAAAACAAAAGAAACCAACCCCACTAGACCAGGGTCTCCCACTCCATGTAAACAGGCCCTAAGAACAAATGTTAGTCAACACTTTTTTCTTTGTTTTAATTATTATTTTGATCCCTTAACCGGGGCCACCTAGACAAAGTTGACCAATCAGATTACAGGAAAAAATAACAATACATCATGAGAAAGTTAATTTCCAATCATGATTACCACTAAAAGAAATAAACAACATGGATCGAAATCAACCAATTACACAGGGGCATATATGCCTCTTCTGTTCGAAGAGGCATATATTGCCTAAAACTTTCTATTACTCAAGGACGGCTAAAGATTTCTTGATGACCATTCTATTCACGTACAGTTTCCGAAGCTCATCTAATAAATTCTGTTCGATTTTCAGAAATTTAATTTATCAGATTTAACTCCCCAGGTTAGGTTATTTTTCGTAGGAAAAAGGAAACCTAAAATTATCGGATTCAAAAATGTGATGGAGAGAGGAATGAGAAAAATTATCATTTTCGTAATACGTTAAATTGCATTTAAAATTTTCGGGAAAATAATACCGAAGCCCTTGAAATTTCGAAAAGACTCAAGTTGTCCTAGGATGACCGAACAGATAAAGATTTTATAGCGCCGCTTAGAATGTATTTCTGGTGAACTAAAAGTACTCTGGATAGCCTTAATGTTTTCAATGAATTTAGGGGGAAACCGTCGTTGGGTGCTCCTGATTACAGCCTACAAATGTGACCTTTTGAACCCACTAAAGAAAGTCTGTGTTTCCTGAAACGTTAGTTAGAATGAATGACAGAGGCGAAAGACGTAAACGTTAGTTATATTTAAGGGTCGTGATAATTTTGCAAAGCGCGGCAATCAGGTAACGAAGAAATTGCTAAGTATGTCTCCTAGGTGCTATATTTTATAAAGTTTCGAATAGAAACCATTGTCTGGTGAAACATTTTGCTTTCTTGAAAAACGTTTGCTATCAATATTTAAATTTTGTGCCTCCATTAACTTATTGCTTTTTTTACGAGCTGCTAATTGGCTCACAGACAACTTTCTTGGAATATACATGTATTGTTATTTTCGTCTTTAATCCGATAGTTCAACTTGGTTTAAGAGGCTCTGGTTGCAGTAGTCGCACTGTAATAAAATGACAAATTTCTTTGGTATACATTTTGTGATAAAAGTTAACGCTAAACAGTCACGATTATTTGACCTCTCAGAGGTCATTTCCAAGTCATTTGTCAAGTGCGACTAGTTACAAACATAGCCTAAAAGTCTTTTAAAAACAATTAAAAATAATTAAAACTGATAAGAATTCCACGAACAGTAAAATGCGATAAAATAAATGCGGTAAGGATAAAATATTGATAAAATTTTAAAAGGACATACACTGCAGAAAAAAAATAAAGTTTAAACCAGTCATGTGCTCTTCAATTCCCTAGCTGGTGAGGGTGTCGGCACGTATCCAGGTTACACCGAAAAGGATACACAACGCATTGTTAACACACACCGCATTGTTGATACACAACGCATTATTGACGCATTGTTGATTTACACTACTTCTCACCGATGAATTCACTACTTCACTTCACCGATGAATGGCTTAATAACATGGATCAGAAGAAAATATCTGTTGTTGTTCTTTTGGACATGTCCAAAGCTTTTGATAGCATTCGACACGATTTAATGTTACGTAAACTTCGCAAATCTGGTGTATCTGAGACTGCGTGTGCCTGGTTCGAAAGCTATTTATCGCAACGTCAACAAGTCGTTAAATTTGAGAATACTGTATCTGATCCCTTACCCCTCACGTTTGGGGTACGGCAGGGATCCATCATGGGCCCGGTGTTGTTTACATTGTATGTAAACGACCTCTTTCGAGTTCCAAAACATTGCGAACCACTCGGCTATGTGGATGACACCAAGCTCTTCCTTGGGTTCCCGCCAGCGAACTTGACGACGTTATCTCTCAGTAAACGAAGATCTTAAAGAAATATCGATTTGGTGCTGTATAAATTCGCTGCTCATTAACCCTGACAAAACAAAGCTTCTTTATGTGGGCGTCCCACAACTTATGAGGACATTACCTACCCCCTTACCAAGTGCGACAATGCTGGGAACTCAAATCAAGCCTGTAACAGTTGCAAAGGACCTGGGAGTGTTTATAGATTGTCATCTTAACTTTAACGAACATATCACTAAAACTGCCTCTGACTGTATGTTTAAACTAACGAGAGTTAATAGGATAAAGCATCTGTTAGATAAAAAAAACTTTGATCTATCTTATAAATGCTTTCGTTTTCAGCAAATTATTTTATTGTTCGACGGTATGGAGTAGCACGAGCAAGAAGAACGTTAGAAAACTTCAGCTAGTTCAGAACTATACCTGCAGAATCGTAGCTGGTTTAAGAAAATACGATCATGTTTCAGAAGCCCTGAAGTCCCTTAAATGGCTTAACGTAAGGGATAAACTGCTTTTTAACGACCTAGTCATGGTGTACAAATGCTTAAAGAACCTAACACCTGGTTACCTCCACAGACGCTTCCAATATCGCGCAAAGACTCAGCAAAGAGTCACAAGACAGAACAAAGACCTTACGTTGCCTCGGTATAGGCTGGCCACTGGCCAATAGACTTTCAGCTACCGTAGGGCAAAACTTTAGAACAGTATAGCTAAAGATATAAGAGACACTGGAAATTTTAACGATTTTAAAAAGAGAATTTTTAAATATCTTTTTAATTTATAGATAGTTTTTTATTATTGAAATGTAAATAGCCTTTAAAATTAACGTTCATTATTATTTATAGAAATTCGTTATTTTATCATTAAAATGTAAGTAGTTTTCTAGTTTATTTAATTTATTTTAATTCGTGTATGTATGGCGGAAGAGCCCCCAAGGGGGAGCTATGCGATAAAGTATGTATGTATGTATATATGTATGTATGCACATGGGGCAGCCTGTCTTCCGCTCCCTCGGAAACCACTTCATGGTGAGGAATCAGCACCATATATCCAAAAATGACATTGCGCAAAATTTTGAGGTTTTTGGACAGTGCCAGAGCAAACTAATGATTGCCTTTTTTTTAATGCTTTTTACCAAAGAACTGGAATCAAACCAGTAAACAAATTGTGTGATTCCATCCGCGGAAAATAATTTCTTTACATCGGTTTTAATTAGCCTTATTCTTACTTTATTGTCTTATTGTTTGAGTTGACTTGTGTGGGGATGTTTGTAAGTTGATGGATACCGTACACATCAGCTAAATCAGAACGGTATTTTTAACGTTATGAGGCGAAGCAAAATTACAGCTTAAACCATCCAATAAATGAAATTCAACCTTTTCAGCATCAAGTTTATCAACCAAAGTTTCAAGATGAGAGAACGTTTTCTGGACTGAACATTTTCTGAACATTTTAATGAACTGGGAGGTCTATACCAATTAGCAATGAGAAAACACTTGGATCTTAGTTTACGAACTTCGATATATAGGTTTTCCAGGCATTGGTTGTCGGGACGCAAAGAAAAATTTATATGAAAGCGAACAGAGAAACAAACGCCCCCACATAAGCTTAATATAACACTCGAAATATCATGATTATTTTTATAACAGTTTGTTAAAAGCCATGGGCACTTTCCATTCAACCAAAAGGTCCGGTTGGAATATTCGGCAACTCCCAGGAGCAAAAAGAACAGTATTTTCCAAAATTTCCAAACAAGAGGACTACCTTGCGAGGTATACCCAAATTTTCAAATTTTTTTCTTTCCCGGAAGTTCTCTTAAAATTCTCCTTGCTCCTCCCGGAATATCTAGAATTTTCGGCTGTTGAATGGTTTGAATTTTGAAAATTCAACGGAACCATAATTTCTGGAAACCTTTCTGCGAAAATTCTCTACCATTTGTCGCTGTTTCAAAATTTTTGAAAATTTAATTGCATGGACACGTCTCTTGTTTCGTTATCGAAAAAATACCCTAGAGGGCGGTCGACAAGAATAACTCTCAACTCATCAATATGCGCATATGCCAATACTAAAAATTGCGTAGATTAACGTGCACAGATGGTGACGATGATGTTAAGTTTTTTTCGCTGGTTGTGCTTTTTGCACGTAATACAATCAGTCTCAAGCAGCAGGCTGTTTCGTCTTGGTCAATGGCTTCCTGCCGACTGGAACGTCACTGACGAATGGTTGGCCAACGTGATCCATGAGTGTCAATGTAAATACAAAGATAAGTTAGAAATGCTTTTAACTCTTCACCCACAAGCTGAAGACGACGAATCAGCTCTGTGTGTACTTCGATCTACAGATACTAAAATTGCAGATAAGCACCTCCGTCTCCATAAACCGGTCGAAGATTTGAAGAATGCTATTCTCACCGACGACGAGATCAACATGTTCTTTCATCAAATGTTCTGGCAACAGTATCAACTCCCAAACTCTTCAAAAGGAATAAAAATTCCGTCCTGGCAATTGATGATAATAATAATCGACCACATCATGACAACAGCTCCGATGTTTAACAAAACTGCATTGGTTGGCTTTCCAATCAATGCTATCTTGAACTTGCCTATGGCTACCACCGCTGGATTTGCTGCCTTCCTGAACGACAAAGTCAACAGGTTGTTCAAGAACATTCTCAATTATTGGGGAGAGTTCCTGTCAACTCCAGAGTCTTGCTATGTCTTGACTGACCATCCTCGACAAGGTTGGTTTGGTGAGGATGCAATGGAAGCAATGCCAAACTTTGTTGAGGAGTTTANGCTACCACCGCTGGATTTGCTGCCTTCCTGAACGACAAAGTCAACAGGTTGTTCAAGAACATTCTCAATTATTGGGGAGAGTTCCTGTCAACTCCAGAGTCTTGCTATGTCTTGACTGACCATCCTCGACAAGGTTGGTTTGGTGAGGATGCAATGGAAGCAATGCCAAACTTTGTTGAGGAGTTTAAATGCGATCCAGATGCCCCTCATTATGGTTTCAAGTCATGGGATGATTTTTTCACCAGAGAGTTTCGTCCTGGAGTTCGTCCAGTCAAATTCCCAGACGATGATTACATTGTTGCAAACGCCTGTGAGTCGGCCCCTTACCAGATAGCTACATGCGTCAAAACGAGGGACTTCTTTTGGATTAAGAGACAACGGTACTCTTTGCATTTTTTGCTGAACAAGAGTGACCTGGCCAAGAAATTTCATGGTGGAACCGTCTACCAAGGGTTTCTAAGCGCCACCAGCTATCACCGATGGCACAGCCCAGTGTCGGGTACAATCTACAAAACAGAACTTGTTGATGGTTCTTATTACTCGCAGACCCATAACATTCAGGACGACCCCGCATCACCCAACATGTCTCAAGGATACCTGGCACAGGTAGCTGCGCGAGGGATAATCTACATTATGGCTGATAATCCTGATATTGGATTGATGTGTTTCGCAGCAATCGGCATGTCAGAAGTCTCTTCAAACGAAATCACTGTTAAAGAGGGGGACAGAGTCAAGAAGGGCGATCAGCTCGGAATGTTCCACTATGGTGGGTCCACGCACTGTCTTATATTTCGACCCGAAGTTGAAATCGAGTTTGATACTCGTGGTCAAACACCAGGTCTGGATACCGACAATATTCCAGTTAGAGCTAAAATTGCGACCGTTTATCCAGCACAAGACAAGAACAAAAGATTCTAAAGAAAACCGCAAAAAGCTTTAAAAGTAATAAATATTTCTGCCTTGCTTCATTTACCCAATTTCCCCATGATTATTTTCGCGTGTGCTACGCGAATTGTTTGATCAGGTGCATGCAAAACTTGGCTTTTGAGTCTGTATTCAATGTATGAAAAATATCAGTTATGCTATGTTCTTACGTACATGGTAATAATGTGTAGAATGCATGTAAACTAACGTTTACTTTTCTCTGAGAGAAAAGTAAACGTTAGTTTACATGCATTCTACACATTATTACTTAGGTACTGCTTTGTGACCAAATTATAGAAGTAAAAAACGTCTGATAAAACGGACTTCACTGAGGTATTTCATTTTCTTTTCTTTCGTATTTAAATGATCTTTTCTACTTTATGAGGACTCATTTTAAACGTCGAACTTCAAATGTGCCCCTAATAGGGAAAATCTATTGTTTTCCATCATTTGCTTTAGATTCAGCACATGTGAAACAGCTGAGAAACCTGAAAAAGCCCTAGGGAGTATAAGGTTAAATATATTATGCGAAGGCCAATGGGATATTCATTTAATATTGTATCTAAAACCTTTCAGTAGTCATATTATTTTCCAATTCTTTATGAAACCTTGTGTGAGATATGAAAATAAAAACCTTTGTGTTATCACAACAATAGCAACAACCGCTTTATTTCTCATCAAATGGGACTTGATGTGTGGTTAATTCATAACAGCTTATTACTTATGCACTATTTAGTCATCATTCTTTCTTTGATTGAGAATCTTAATGTCTGAAGTAATATATCAAGTACGAGACGCATTGTTCCACCACCGTATGAAACACTGAGTAGAGTGTTGAAAATACGACAGGCAGCGGAGTATTTTTGACGAACTTCAAGGTGTTTCATCTGGTGATGAAACACTGCTTTGAATGCTTGATACATATTCACTTCGACACAAAATGATTTTAGAAAGAGAATTAAGAGGGCAAAAATGAGCAGTTTTTCATCTGATTTCCAAATACTCGCAAACATTCATTTCCTTTGTATTGTCTTTATGAATTATTAATGAGGTTGGGAATGATGTTGTCTGGTTATTTTCGCAAGCTTTGTGTTGTGTTGTATGTCGCTGGAGTTATCGCAACAAAATACTACCTAGGCAACCTAAACTTACCTAGATCATAACTTATGACTTGTTTATTTATCCGCACAAAATTGATTAAACAATAAAATATCGTATCATGAAGCTAGGAGCAAACGAACGCAACATCTGTCCGTCATTTCAGGGAGGC